AATATCCAAGAAGAAAATTTGGAAGATGTATGTTAAAACCTAACTAAACCGCAACTTTTATAGAAAACAGAAATGCGATTTCCGTTCGAGCGTAGGCATGGCCGTTCGAGCAAATCTGCACTCAAGCGCAGGAAGTGCTGCTCGAGCGCAAAAATGCAACTCCTAGTATTTTTGTAGACAGTTCAAACTTCTGGAATCAAAGATTCTTCGCTCTAGCAGACAAGCAACTTCGACTGCATTTTTGCTTTTTGCTTCGGGGGTGCTGCCCCTCGACCCCGCCTAGACGCTGCCCCGAACCCACCAAGGAACGTTGTCCCCTGGACCCCCACAAGTTGACCGGGCAGCTCGATCCCCGTCATAATCAGCGAAGTGGCAATCTTGAAAGCATTGACATCACAAACTTCTCTGCAAAGTACAATTCAGGTTGGATTCGCATCTAAAAACTCATAGCTTCATTGAAATAAAAAGTGCGAATAAAATTACAACTCAAAGGAGTTTTGTCAAACGGGATTGCCAAGAATAAAAACCTAACAAAACGGAATACAAAAGAAATAGGGCAAATTACACTAATAGTTCCCATAGTGTGGGGCTTGTGTCACTTTGATCCCTAACTTTTCAATTGTGACACATTTGACCTTGAATTTTGAATCTTGTTTCAAATAAGGACAATTGAAGATATCATTAGATTTTTCAAGGGTAAAATAGTCAATTTGATAAAATATAAACTAATTTGACAAAAATAAATGTCAAACAAATATTTTAAAATTTTTAAAAATTATTTCTACCCACTAAAATTAAACTTATGTAAAATTGATAAATCTTTTACACATTTATTTATTTATTTTACCAAAATAATTTTTATTATGTGTTTGGATAATGATCATACAAAATTAATTTTTAAAAATTAATCATGTAATTTATATTAATATTTATCAATTTTATATAATTTTATCATTGGTGGATAAAATAATTTTTAAAAAATTAAAAATATATTTTTGACATTTATTTTTGTCAAATTAGTTTATATTTTATTAAATTGACTATTTTACCCTTGAAATTAAATAATGGTATCTTCAATTGTTCTTATTTAGAACAAGATTCAAAATTCAGGGTCAAATGTGTCACAATTGAAAAGTTAGTGACCAAAGTGACACAAGTCTTAAACTATAGGGACTGTTAGTGTAATTTACCCAAGGAAATATAAGAAAGGAGAGAGTTGTTTGATTACAAAAAATCAAACTAGAAATTAAGATAAATAAATAAAAACAAATTTTATTTTATTACAAAAACAAAATCAAAATCTGATATAAATAAATAAAACATAAAATAAATTCACAACTTACTTGATTAATTTCTTGAACAATATTCTGATCAAGTGCAGTGTTTGACACTGTATCCTTAAGATAGATTCGTCCTCTCCATGGTACTTTCGGATTTGCGGATGTTTATCTCTTAGGATAAAATGATCAATCAACGGAAAATTGTAGCACTACAAATTTTCCGTACAACGAACATACTATGTGTTTATACACTTTCACAAGAAAAATAATGCAGCAAAATGTAGAGAGTAATGCAGTATTTTTTCAGGACGAAAATTGAATGGAGAATACAAGTGAGGACTAGTCTATTTATAGGTGCAATGGTGCCTCTTAGTTTTGAATCCAACAGGTATGATACCTATTTAGTTTAAATTAAACCGATACAAATCTGTTTGAATTTTAAATTAAACAGGTAAGGATTTTTTGAACTGTAATGGACAGATTTGAAATCTGTCTGTTCCAGAAGGGTGCAAATTTTCGGACCAAGATTTGAATTCAAACGGTCAAAATTTATTTTCCTAAAATTAAAAAATAAATTCAAATGTTTTTTACCCAAAAAAATAAGTATTGGGCCGGACAAGCCCAACCCAACCTCACACCACGCGCCCAGCCCAGCCCGTTAGACCAGACGGCAGCGGCGCGCATGTTTATTTTGGATCCAATAGATCTAGCCCACTTTGCCCATAACCTCCCTCTCTATAAAACTTTGGTGCCCCTTAGGGTCTACCCCAAGTTCCAAACTAAAGCTTTATAAACCCATTCAAAATATGTCCACCAAATCAATGTGGGATAAGCCTAAACCATACCTTTAAGAAATTTCCACCAAAATTCTATTTCTATGGAGCTCTCTTTGGCTTCAATTTCTTATTCACCCAATAATGGTTTTGGGCAACCAAATATACTATGTGAATCACAACACGACATAGAACGCATTACCACTTAGAACCACCAACAATAGCTCATGGGTCCCACCTAAAAATTAGACCAAAGTTTAGAAAAAAGTCTATTTTTTTTCCAGATTTTTTCAAAAACCATTTCCAACAAATGTTATATTCAAATCATAATTATTTTATTTTTTTTCTCACAAAAATCAAAAGTCCATCCAAAACGAGATTTTTTAGTCTCAAACAATAGTTAAAAAATCAAATGTCAAAAAATCAACCCATACCCGAAACGAAACCTAAATAATACTTGTAATTTACATATAATCTGGTTGCTTCCCTTTTTTCTTGCTAGATTCGCGACCTTGATTTTTAGATTGGAGTATCACATTTTCTTTTTCTTTTTTTCTCCCATTTTTGTTTGGCACTCATATAGATCATACCAATCCAATCGATTTTTTGTTAGGCTCTACAAAGGTGTGGATTCGAGAGAAAAGTTTGGATTTGGTGAATTTTATTTGGAGTTGACTTTTGTAATTCAAACCATTTAGTTTTAAGATTCATTTAGTAGAATATTTATGTAAAAAATTAAGATGATCGCAAATCAATAGCTATATATTTAAATCACATTTATATTATAAAAATGGAGTGATTATAATTCAAATATATAACTATCAATATGCAATTATTTTAATTTTTTACATAAATATTCTATCAAACAAGTCTTAAAAGGTGAACAGTTTGAATTTCTGAAGTCATCTCCAAAATGGACAAGTCTTAAAAGGTGAACAGTTTGAATTTCTGAAATCATCTCCAAAATGGACCACGAAACTCAACTTGTGCCCCGCACAAAAAAAAAAAAAATCTCTAGAGAATCCAAACCTCATCTTGATTGTATAAAATCATATGCGGAGTCCAAATCCAAAAATTGATAACAATTTTTTAAAATGCAGTGCAATTTTCATAATTGAGTAGCAAATTTATTTGTTGCCATAGGCCAAAAATTCTGGTGCAATTTGGCATTCAATACAAACCTTTACGCTGTGTTTGGTAGGAGGATTTGAGGAGGGATTTGGAAAGGGAAAGGGAAAAGTTAAGCGAAATGTGAATAAAATACATCTATATTTCACCTAATTTCACACACCTTTTCCCTTTCCCTTTCCAAATCCCTCCTCAAATCCCCCAACCAAACACAACATTAAAAACACAAATAATGAATTGATGACTTATGGTTCAAATGGAATTAAATATAATGCAAGGGGCAAGTAAGCCGATACAAAAGATAAAAGATAAATAACTATTACTCATTCAAAGTCCTTGTCTTCAATGGGTATTTATCACCACAAAAATTACATCAAAATGTAGCATAGAAGCAACATTTGTAAGCATGGCATTATCACCACCACCCAAAACTAAATTACAACAAAAATTACTTCCAATCAAAATACAACCCTTGTCTTTAAATAGATGAATCGAAGTGTTTAAACCATCCAACAAAGTCGCATACAAGAATTATTAATGCAAAAAATTATTGTCACTTCAACTAAATACTATTAATGCAAATATTTATCAATGATAATCCACCCATATGGCCATTGCCACTTCAACTTAATATTGAAGCTATAGCTGTCCACCTTGACAATCCTAAATACACAACATGGAGGTGAAACAACTTGTCTTCTCAGTGCCTATGAACTTTTTAATTGCTTGAAATGCTTCCTCCACACCTACAAGGAAACACAACAAACCTTTTTAATTACAAAACTAACGCAAGACCAAATTGTTAAAAATAAGCAGTTCAGGGGATTGGACACCAAACATAACAAATCTATGGTTACTAGCTTTTGTAGAAGCTGCCCTTAAGCCTCACGCATTATATAAAACAATATTGGGATTTTAAGCTCACAGAGGTGTTCAACATCAAAGCTCAATAGGTCACCACAATGAAATTTGAGGGTGTCAAAATGATTACCACATGAAATAATATATATTCAATTAGACATTTTTACAAACATTTACAGTACTTGGTGAAATTCAAAATTCAAACCAATCTGTTTATTTGTTGCCAAAACAAACGTAAAAAATAGCAAAAATGCAATTTATTGAGAGCTAACTTACCTCTAAATGGGCCTTGGTATTCTCTAATTTGTTGACACAGTAATGGTGCTTCATGGTGGCTGTAGTCCTAGACTGCTTTGGAAGTGATAAAGGTAATGCAAAAATAAATAAATAAATCACTGTTGGAAATTAGGCTTTTAGCGGCGTTTAAAAAACGCCACTATAGGTATCAAAAACGTCGCCAATTCTTTTTGTGACGTTTAGTACCAAACGCCGACGACGCGGCCGTCGCTATAACTTTATGGCGTTTGGAAAACGTCGCTGTATTAGTATAGGCGGCGTTTTTAAAAACGCCGCCAAATGCCCTGCCTTGACAATACTGTGACGTCAGTATGATTTTAGCGACGTTTTTAAAACGCCTTCATAGGTTTTTTTAATTTTAAAAATTCCAACCGTTATAGTGGCATTTGAAAAACGCCGTCTTATCTTTCTTTTTTTTTGGGTTTGGAAATTGTGCTAATTTTATGTGATTGAACTAAAAGAACACCAATAATAAAACTAAATAACACTAATATAAAATAATAACTCCCATTCAAATAACAAATATAGTATTAATTCACTTTCCCATTCAATTTAATATAGCATTAATTTTTCCACAAAATAAAATATCCAAAAATTGAATTCACAATTCTCAATCAAAAAATTACTACCTTATATACAAAGCCACAAAAGTTAAATCCAATTGAAACATAAAACCAGTAAGTACCTTGAAAATGTCTTGGCTTCGAATTTTGGAAGATACATTACAGGGATTTAAAATTATTAGAGAAACTTACTAGAAAAGGCTTATGCCGATGACTATGAATGGCAATATATTAGCTAGAACAACCACAACTAGCTGAGTCCTAATTAATGAATTAGGAATCATTTAGATTATCTAAGGCAATGGCAAATCATTCGTATGCTTATATTAATGTTTCTCCTACGTAAAACATTTTCGGAAAGTGTTAAAAAAGAATAAAGAACAGGAAATAAACTCGGCCGAAGTTCTGGGTTTTCTCCGCAGCATGCTTTTGATGAGGGCCTGACTGGAAAACAAAAATAGAGCAAGGATTAGATTAAGACACTAATTAAAGGCCACAATATACAAATAAGAACACAATTCCTCACAAGGAAAAATCTAAATTTTCATAGGCATCAAAAATATGCCAAGTTGCAACTTGCATTCATGATTGCATTATAACTTATATATGTATTTATGTGACATTTGTGTATACACTTACCCAAGGACCAAATGTCTGACTTAGAGCCATAAGGTATGTCAGCAAGAAGCTCAGGGCACATATAACTTGGAGTTCCTACAACCTGAGTTACGAAAAAGAAATCTTGAACAATAAAACTAATGCAAATGTTGAAACTTGAAAAATGAACCAGTTAACCACAAGACTTACAGAGGATGCAAGATCATCTGATGGCAACATCTTAGCAAGTCCAAAATCACCTGCAACAGGATTAATCAATGGTGATTCAGCAAAATACTGACACCTCTCAAGACTATTAAAGAAAGAAAACATATCACTTACCAAGACGTATGTCTTGATCTTTTGCCAAGAATATATTTGAACACCGCAAGAACAAGACTGTCAGTAACATGCAATTTCAGAAATTTCAGAAGGATAATTCATAAATCCTCTAGTATACAGATAGATGCAACTTACCTTAACATCTCGATGAAGAATATGATTCACATGTAAGTAGTCAAGAGCCATAAGCAATTGAACAAGCTATTTACACAGCTTCTATAAACAATTTAACATCAATGTATCAGTGAACAAAGAAATTGTGAGCTGATACAAACTGAAAACTGCAGAGGTGGGAGGTAGAATGCAGTACAATCTAGATTGCGACAACAGAAAAGAAAACGAAACAATATAAATGTGATGCTAAGATACTAGAAATATAAAACAACCTCATATATATATATATATATATGTATAGAGAGAGAGAGAGAGAAGTATCCATAAATGATGGCATTTAATTAGTAAAGTTTCATAATGTTAAGACCAATGATCAACTGGGTTAAACAATGAAGCATATGAAAGCAATATCAGCATGACAGGAAGGAAGGAACAAAAACAAATAGAATAGACATTCAGGTAGCCTATTAGACCATCAGAAAACAAAGGATGAAAGAAAATACCAATGTCAATTGAACAACATCAATAATACGAGATATAACATCTACTGACCTTCTCTACCCAAGAATCTTTATACTCCACAATAAACGGATTCCTCATTTTGGCAATAAGCTCCATCTACGTAGCGCAAGAAAAACGAGAATATTAGTCTGTACTCTACTCTAGTAATCTGACAATATCCCAGATAAACACCACAGCAAAAGTTCAGCATGTAGCAAAACCAGCTAAAGTATAAATGTCTACATGCTAATTAATGATAAGTATGCGCAATCGTGTGCATAGCACTTAAATGCTCTTCATTTGACATTTGAAATTAATTGCAATTTCATAGAGTGTGAGAGAGATATGTTGCAATTCAATATGTTTCACAACAATTTGAGAGTTGTGTGTGTGAAAAAGAACTCTACTACAATCTTAACAGTGGCAAGAGAGACCGGCACGCCTTTGTTAGCAAAAACAGTGACAAAGAGAGGATTAAAAAGAAAAGTGGACCAGAATGATTAGTGTTTTTTGATTAAACAAAATGAACCTATAATTTCTAAAATCATAATGAAAAGTCTCATTTTAGTTCGAAATCATAATGAAGAGTGAGGAAGGGCATTGTTAGCTCATATACTTGTGACTTCAAACAAACAGGGCATCAAAGAAAATGATAATGGGTACTCATTAAAGAATGAGCAAGTGTTGTATTCAATGAGCACAGAGAGTCAATTTGTTTTCTACTCGTAATCCTAGGAAGAGCCCAGAGGTCATGTCTCCATAATGAACTAATAAATGAACATTGTCTAATTTATGCATACACATACAGTGACACTAATCAATGAAACCAATTGTTCTCGATAGAAAGGGAAAGACAACTAACCGGTATCAATGAAGCCGATAACGACATTAACTTGGTTCTTGGTGGAATACCCAGGGATTTCCAAAGTTCTATAAAATTTCCTCCTGGGTTTCTGCATCATGAGCTTCAACAAGTTCTTCTATTTCATCCACGTCACTGTCATGGTCAAAGGAACCTACACCTGTACCAATAACAAGGGTGTCATTCCCCCGCAATGTGGATGGAGGAGAGGGAAGGCGGAAAAAGTTTACTATAATATAGAAGTAACGAACTTCCAGGAATGGAAGCATCAACGCAACAAACTCCAGATGAAAGTTTCAAAGAAAACAGCCAAGGAGTTTCTTACATATGAAAATCTTCACATCAGAAAGCTCATGACCTATTGTAAACATGTGTATATGGAAACAAATGTTTCTGGCATTTAAGAAATATAAGCCACCTACAACTCTCGCATGCCTGAACTACAACAAACTAAAATTGAAGTGCATGAAGCTTCACACATTCAATTACATCCAAACATAGGAAAGTTTTGACCAAATCTAACTCTAGGACTTCATCAAAACCAGTCCCCAAAAGCTCATATAATGCAGGTCACCGTTTGGTCTTTGACACGAGAAGTTCAACTTTTAAATCAATCAATTAGGCCAGCAATGAAGTTCAACTTTGGGCCTACACTGGTCTGACCAGAATTGTCGCCCAATACTTCAATAATTGCAGTAAAAGAATGATGAAACGTATTCCTATACCTGTAGAAACAAAGGAAGCCAGACTACGGGTTTGTTCCCTTGATTCTGATGTGTTGTTATCAAGAATATAAGGAAGTTCTAGAAACTGCAAGAAAGCTTCTATTTGAGGGTTCCTACTATATCCTGCAAGATAGCAAAAATGAATTATAACATATATTTTCCTAAGCATTTGATTCTTACACTGAAAGTAGTATGATACCAGTTAAAACATAATGACTCTGAATATCCACAGCATTGTTTCTCAATCTACCATGGTAGTAAGATTCCGGTAAGATATTATGCAAGGTGAAAAAAACAAATATCAAACAATACAAGATATTTTGAATTCATTTAGATACAACATCTGCAGACACAACACCAATTTCGTAGAAATAATTTCAAAAGCAAAATTTAAATGTAAATCTATAAGCACTCTGATTTGTGGAATTATAGACTGAGCAGTTAACCATAAAAACCATCACTTAATAGAGCATAGCAAGATGAGATGGCATGTTAGATTTTCTTAATCGGTGCAGTAAGTGCATGACCATGGTTCGATCCCAAGTTGCTGACAAGCTTGCAGAGACTTTAAACCACCTTTAACAAGATTTTCTTTATAAGTAACTTAGGAAGCTATTTATGTCAAGTAAAATAGAGCAAATAGTCCTAATATATTCAGGCAAGAAATGAGCAACTAAAATGAGTGGGAGCCATGAGAGTGAAAGTTCAAAGTCAGTATCAACAGCCAAAAATCAGGATGAACTTTGCCAAAAACCTTCATAATTTTTTCCGTCACTGCCGATCAACGATTGGATCATTCGTGAGCCTGAAAAGAAAATAAGGATGATTATTCAATCAATACATAGAGATACATATATAAATTCATATATATACTTGTATAGAGAGATTTTTAGGAGAAAAAAATTATTCAAAAAAAAAATACAGATAATGTGTACGTAGAGAATGAGATTGTACGAGAGAGACAGAGATCCAGAGAGATCGAGAGAGAGAGGGAGACAGAGACAGAGATCGAGAGAGAGATTGAGAGAGAAGAATCGACGAAATTGAGATTGGATTGAAATCGAAATCGAAATCATGCATATCGTTAGTAGGCAATGCAGATGCAGATGCAGATGGCGATGGCGGTGGCGGTGGAGCTTTGAAATCAAAATCATTCTGAGATTGGATCGATCGAATGATGAATCACCGAGCTGAAGAAGGTTGAATCAAGTTGAAGGAATTGAAGGGCTTAGAGAGAGAGAGAGAGAGAGAGAGAGAGAGAGAGAGAGATAGATTTGAGGGATCGGTTTCTTTGAGACTCTAGGGTTTCTCAGATTCAAATAAGTTGTGAGAGATTTGAGGGCTTGAAGACAGAGAGAGAGAAACAGTGTAACACATTCGAAGGCGCTTTTTAAACGACTTCATTACTTAAACGGTACCGTTTTAATAAAAACAAAATGTGACGTTTATAAAATGTCGTTAAATATTAAAAATAGTGGCGTTTAAAAAAACGCCATTAAATAAACGCCGTTAAATCATATATTTCCTGTAGTGAATAAATAAATTGTTGGAAACTATGTGATAAATAATATGGTGTAACCTCGTGGTGCACATAGTGTGGCCTAATCTTGAAGGCCACATGATATATATGATCTATCCACATATGGTCTAACTATGAAGGATGCATGATCTTGGATATGTGGTACATATGGTATGGGCTAACTATGAGGTACACATGGTTTTGACATATATGCCTATAGAAGACCATCTCCAACTGTGTATCAAACTCGTCATCAAATTTGAAATTGATGAAAAAGGTGTCTTTTTTCAGCTCTAACGGTTTTATCAAATCGGTATTAAATCGAAAATTTTACTTTTCTTTCAACAAACTGAGGTCCAACTTTTCTTTCATCAAATCACTGTTCATTACCATTGCCGGATGTCTCCCGGATATCCCTCGAATGTTCTCCTGGATGACCACCTCATGGCAAAAAAAGTGAAAAAATTATATTGGCCAGTTGACAACCTCAAGGCAAAAAATAAAAAAAATAAAAAAATCACATTGACCGGTCAACCTGCTGGACACTACAACAAAATGCACATTTGGTGACCAAAATTGGCGACTAAAAAAAATTTAGTCGCCAAAAATACAATATTTAGCTACTAATTTTTTTTAGTCGGGGTGTATTGATTAACGGTGACTAAAAAAAAATTTAGTCGCTAAAAATATCAAAATTAGCAACAAAAAAAATATTTTGGTTACCGTATATTGAGTTTTGGCTATTAAAACCATTTAGTCGCCGAATGTAAAATAAAAAATTATTTTTTTCTTTGACGACCAAAAGTTTGGTCGCCAAAAACATATTTTCAGTGACAAAAAAATATTTTAGTCGCCGTATATTAGTTTTGGCTACTAAAACCATTTAGTTGCCGAATGGAAAATAAAAAATTATTTTTTTATCTTATTTTCAGCGACAAAAAGAAGTTTTAGCAGCCAAAAACTAAAATATTTGGAGGGAGACATTTCAAATTTTGGAGGGATTTATAAAATTAATTAGCGACTAAAAATATTTAGTTGCTAATGGTGTAATATATCTATATAACAAAACAACTCTAGCTTTTTTTTCCCCCCCTTCTGATGAGACTTCTGTCCCTTTGTCAAAATATGAACCATTAGATTGAATTCAATCCAAAGGCTTACAATGTCTCACTCTCTATTTGGTCCAAAATATGGACCATTTTCAACACACACCCTTTCTCTTTTTCACACACACTCTCATCTCTTTCTTTATGATTTCAAATTTTGAAAGCAGACCCTCTCTCTCTCTCTCTCTCTCTCTTTCTCTCTCTCTCTCCATCGGACGTGGTTCCCTGTCGGAACCCAACCCTTGCTGGCGACTGAACCCCAAACCCCTTATTAGTCTCTTCATCTTCTCTCTTCCTCTTTCCACCATCCCAATCGTCATCAACAGTGGCAGCCCCAAACCCTCTTCAATATTGACGAAGACTGAATTGAGCCATAATAAAAAGAGATCAAAGAGATGGGAGATTCAAAGATGGGAGTCAAAATAAAATAGAGAGATTCAGAGATTGGAGTAAAAAATGTATGTATATATGTGCATTTGTGTGTGTATTTACAAATCCATTTGAG